CCAGCGTAGAAGATGCGGAAAAAGAAGCCGTGAAGAAGTACGAGTAAAACTGCGTTAAGGAAAGACTGCAGTCATATCAAAAGACACCCGGTGACGTTCTAAAAACGGCCCGCGAAAATGGAGCGATAGACAGTCAGGACGGATCAAGGTCTTGTTGTGAGCAAAAGTAACTAACAGTACATAGTATTGAATGCAATCGCATCTAATGGGTCAAATGAACTGAAAAGCAAGTAAATTAGTGGACCCGTTTGTGTGCAGGTTAAGAAGAAAAGTATCATTTTAAGGTTAGTGAGTGATTTGTTGACGAGGCATCCAGGTAGTCTTGTGCAGCCGAAGATGATAAATTAGGCAAGTGGCGAGAAGGGCGCGGGAGGTCTCCTCAAGGCCCAGCGTCGTGGGCGGCGCCTAAGAGGTTACGAGGCACTGGAGAAGACGGCTAAGAAGTGGAGGTCTTTGAACGAGTTTGCATCAGAGATACTAGCTCACGTTCATCGGCGTACGATTCGAAGGATTCGAACTCGTTCACGTCGGACGCAAATAAGACCTATTTGAAAGAGGGTGAGAAAGAGGGAGTCAGGGCGAGTGAAAAAACAATTGACCTATTGTGCAGGCTGGGCGATGCGGTCGAAAAAGGAGGCTGGTGTGCCAGCACTGCAGGGTTTACGCGGCTGGTAAAAGTCTGCCTTCCACACTTTTCAAGTCCCTACTCAGTTATGCAACCTGTCACGTGTGACAGCAGTAAAAACTAGTCAGGCTGAATGAAAATATGTTCACGTGATGTGCGTTTGAAGGATGCTTAGGATTAGTTGTGGATTATATATGAAATAGAAGGCAGACATCTCAAGAAATAAAGGTTGAAAGCAAGTGGCCATGCAAGTCCCTAATACAGGGCACAATATTATATGGGACCGAATTCACATTGTTGAAGCTTGCCTCACAAAGAAGACCGAGAGTTTATCGAGGCCATGCACTCGGATGAATCATGTATCGATTGACAAACTGAGTTAGATTCCGTGTACAAAATAGAAGAGACAAAAATCAATCAAGGCATAACGACGCACACGGTGGCCGCTTATTGACGCATATACTAAATGAGTATCGATTGTTCAGGCACGTTTGAAATTTTAGCCGTTTTTTTTCACATTTTCTCAAGTTTGACGGCGACCTGAGAACCAGCGCCGAGAATTTATTAATAGTATCCCAGTTTTCCCTAAGGAACTATTTGCTTTTTAACATAAATGGACGAACACCGACCTATTGGCTTGTCGAAGCAAACAAGCTTCATATGGATGGCAGAGGTCAAGAACAAACAACCAACTACTGGGCCGAAGTTATAATCGCAGAGAGGAGGGACGACAGAAAATGCGGATAGATGGTTACAGTCTGTTTCGGGTTTATTCTCCCTTCATTCAGCGAATCACAATTCTGTCTACCAGGTGGAAACAAAAACATGCGCTCCAGTACCACGCAGATAGTCTACACGCAGTGGGTCTAGCAGATGGGTCATAAGCACTTCATCGAACAGAAGTTCATCAGTGTTTCGCAACTCTCATTCTCTGTCGTTGCATATCAGGTATTTATTCAAAAAAGGCTGGGCGCACACCCATCTATTGACCTGAAGAAGCAAGCAAGCTTCAGATGAGTGGCAAAGGTCACGAACAGGAAA